TATTGTACATATGAATGCTTCCATAAGTTTTCGTTCATTTTCAACATTAGTAGGAGTGCTTAACAATGCATGGATATTAATTTTGCATAATACATAAATTATTAAAGATTTTTCATTACCAAATTATGATTATGACATATTTTTTCTTTCCTTTTTTTATTTGAAGCCAGTCATTAAACCGTCACTGTTTTATTCTTACTTTTTGACTTTCCTTATGGGATGAAAAAAAAAACATTACACAATTTTTCGATACATTGATGTTTTAGTTGTTATTAAATATAAAATATTATGATCCTTTTTACGGTTATGACAGGTTTAATGTGCTGCTATTTAAAGTATTAGTCAGAGGAATATGCTTCAAACAAAAAGTACACACATCAGTTTAAGACAATCGATATTAATGATTAAAATCTATGTTATGTCAATGTTCTCGTTCTTTGTTTTGTTTGGTATTTTTGAATCCAATACATCGGGTTTTTGTTTAAAATTTAAGAAATTGCAAAAATATATTCAGCTTTATTTGCTGTTTCTATATTAAGAATGTGGTCGGAAATTATAAAAGCTGTATCGTTGGTACATTTTATATAATATTTTAAATATATTAATTAAAAAAATTGAAGACTCTTCAACAGCTTGTAACAGCATAGTATTACATTCAGACAGAAAAAAATCATATATATTGTACATCTTCGATAATTTCCTTTTTTTAAATCCTGGGACTAAACTTCTCTTTGCAGATAATATAAAATGATTAATTGATTGTATGTTCTTTGTCCCATTTGAGAAATTTTCATTCATATAGAGACGTCACCATATACGGGTGAAGGGCTTCAAATTTAGACCTTTACTTAGCATTCAGCGTCATTGAGCAGTGAAGGTTCTTTATCGTGCCAACGTCTACCGTGACTAGGGCCTCGGTTTTTAAGGTCTCATTCGAAGGACCCGCAACTTTCACAAAGTGCAGAGCCCTTGGCGAAGGAACTGCTGGTACCTATTTTTATGGTCAATCGCAGCTGTGATTCGAACACACGACCTTCCGATCACAGAGCCCATAAAATGAACTCTGTCAGGAGATCGTGTATACGTAAATTACATACAAATAAATAGCTCAAATAAAGAAAACATAACAATCAAGCAATTTCAAACTGCTTAGGAAAATTGTAGAATCTAGAGGCAGTAAAGAAAAAGTGCAGTGCTATTTTCTGAATTTATTATTTCAAATTAAAATCTATTAAAGTATCAAAACTAAAAAAAAAAGAAGCTAAAACTGAAGTTTATATTTCATTGTCCAGAGGTATTTCTCAATTCAATAGATTGAATGAAATTATCTATATCGTAAAACAAAAAAAAGTTCTCATAAAAAATTGGTTAACTTAAACCTTAGAATCAAATATAAACCCGACCTTTAATCGACTATTTGAAAAAAAAATCGTATATATAGAGACCTTAGTTTTATTTAAAAATTCAAATATATTTTAAAATTATTTTATAAACTATTCTCCCTCTCTCTCTCGTAACTAGTGAGTTTGATTTTGAGGGATTAATGAAGTTAATTAATGTCAGTTTCTTCAATACCTAAGTAAGGAAAATGATTACCCCTGTTTTTTTTTTTTTTTTTTTTTTTGCTTCAAACTTGAAATTTTGTTCTTAATGCATTTTATTTTTGTCTTCTTTGTGAATATAAGTTCGACCAATATATTGGCTATGGATGTCTCGTTCTGCACACTTTCTCCTTTTTTGTTGTCGAGAATTTTCAGAAGAAAGACAACTTTAGAACTCTCTACCTTTGATTACTTTCCTGACTTACAAACCTCATAATAGTTCATTAATCCAACAAAAAAAGCATGTTCAGTCTTATTCACTACGTAATTAGGAATAGAAATCAAAGGTTAATAGTAAGAAAAATAAATTATTCAAATTAATACGATCTGTGGTATGAAGTGTGAAAATAATCAACAGCAAAGAGTCTTATCACCATAGTTTAAAAGGAATAAAGAAATTCAGTCAAATCTATCTAAGCGGCTACCCGAAATCAACCGCCACTTAATTGCAAATAGCGGCCATTTTTTATACCCCCGACAATTTTTCCTACATATTTTAACTAGAATGAACTGCCACCTGTGTAACGCAGCCAGCGGCAACTCAAAATCTCACCAACAACGCTATTTTAACTGTAATTGGCGACCATTTCCTCCATTGCGATTCTATCTCATTTGCTTGGATAATTACATACATGCACCCGTTGGTCTACCTAATCTATTAAACAGCAATTAAATAACTTATTCAATGTTGGTTGTGTGAATGAAGAAGTAAATTGTTCGGTTAGATCATTTGGTCGCTTTTTGAAATTACGTATGGGCTTAATTCTTTTTCAAGACTGCTATTCAAAATTTGAAAAAAAAAAAAACGAAGAAAAAAGAGAATTTAATCACGATAAATATGTTTTCTCATTGCTAACGAAATTAATTTTTAAAGCTAGATTTTTTATCCTAAGGATGTTCTTTCATCATTTTTTAGAATGTTCACAGTGTGGCATATTTAACCCCCAGACTACTATATAAAGTTAATATCTTTTCATGTTATTATGATGTATATAGATGCAATCTTTTCATAGATATCCCTGCAAATGTTAATAATTGTCTGGTTGAAGGCACAAAACTAAACATTGATGTCACATGTGTGCATCATAAATTCATATTCTAGCAATTTATGTAAAAAAAAAGTTTTTTATTATTAGACATCTCAGTCATATACTAGGCCACGTTGTAAATATAGGAGAAGAATGTCAATGGAAATGTATTTTACCTTGAATTCTATACATGACAGTACATGTACACTAGTAACCCAAATATATAAAATTCTGTTCCAAGACATTGATCCTCAGTATGCATTTATTTGTGATAGCTTTTTTTCTTTGTGTACCAATTTTAATTTTTTTTTAGATTAGATATAGCCAGTGATCACAGTCAACATTCCTTCAGGTATTTTTTCTCTCTAGTTTTGTACGCAACATTTATTGAACGACATTTAGTAAGATTTAGTAAGATGCGCTATCAGTAATACTATAATTTAATTACCATTCTTACACTCATGAAAATGATTTTAAGATATCGAGAAAATTATTTTGTATAGATTTGTAAATATTGAGTTTATCTATTTCATTTTTAAAACGTTTAACCCAAGGAAAAAAAATGTTCAAAGGCAATAAAATATTGATGTGCAAAAATAGTTATTGCTTTCTTAAATTGGGGAAAGTTATTTAAATCTAGTCTAGTAAAATATGGAGATAACGAACAGTATTCAAGCTCAAAGTCCTTTCAAACAATTCTAATCTGGAGCAGAGCAAACACGGACCTCCAAAAACATCGAAGGTGGGATTAAATGCCATGGAGGAGTGGGTATCCCCTGCCGACCGGTCACAGTCACACCCACCGTTTGGTTTTTGTCGTGATCGGGAAAAAACGGAAAAAATCCGTAGGCAATTATTATGAAAAACGTTAGTCAACACTTGGCCTGATGATAGGTTGTATTTGTTGACAATTGAAGATCATTGCATCGACCATTAACTTTGGTAAATGCTGACTTCGAACGAGACTGTAGATATCTTTCTTTCATCAATTTGTTTGTCAATAGTTTGCCTCGTTTTAGAAATTATTCATATGCAGAGCATGCTATTGCGTGTCGAATCAACTGGGAGACATAAACGCCATATGCATGTGATAAGGGTATATTGCTATATAAGTAAGGGATGTTGACGACGGAAAAGTTGAAGTCAACATGTTTATCATAAAGCTTTGTTGTTTTATCATTAAAGTCTTTTTCTACTAAAATATCTAAGTATGAAGGAGATGTGTCAGACTGTCATATCTTTTATTTAAAACTCAGTGGGATATTTCGAGTCGACATAAGAATGGAAGTAACTATTTTTAATTGATAATACGTCGTCGATATATCGAACTGCCGAGTTGAAAGTCACAGCAAGTGTTTTGTTTTCTTCTCATGTAGAAGTTTTTGAATTAATTCTGCTTCATATGAATAGACAAATAGGTCTGTTTATAACCCAAATGGTACCCATGGAAATTCCAACAGATTGCTGGAAAACCTGATCCCCAAAAACTACACAGATATTGTCAATCAGAAACTCAAGCATCTTTTTAATATCAACCTCAGAGTACTTGTGTGTTCTATCAGATTTTTTTAACAAAATAATTATGCAAATGACCAGAGACAAGGTAAGTATATTAACGAGTTCCAATTTTTATCGAAAAAGCAGCTGTCTATTATGTCAAAAAGCCTGTACTTCAATTATCATGGGGAATGGTAATATGAAGTGTTAAAAAGTCGCATGTTTTGGTGTAATTGATTTGATAAATTTTTGTAATTCAAATTTTCTAAAAATTCCTTGGAGTTTTTAAGTATCCACATCTGATTTACACCACTTCTCGTATATACTGTTGTACAGTACTTCGAAGTTTCTCCTTCACTGCTGTAAATATTTTAGTGAGGAGTAAAGAAAGTAAGTAATGCTAGAAATGCCTAAATGTCACATTTGTGAATTAATTGTAGATTTTAATTCATTTGATTTTAGATTTAAGGGCTGATCACTCTTACTTAATACAAATACCACATGATTTTGACTCTTTACTGATTAGATACTAATTGTGCTTTTTTGACATGAAAAGGGGAAGGCAGATATTGAACCAAATATTGTCAAGATAAATCAGAAATGCAGTTTATCTTGTGAAATATCGTAAAACAACCCTTTAAAATGCAGACTTTAACAAATCAATATAGTAATTTGATTCTACTAACAAATGTAATTGTTGAAAATGTATATGACAAATATAAGATCACAAATATAAGAGTTGTTTTACCATTTTGATACGCAATAAATTTATGTCAGGTAATTCACATCAGAAGATCCTGACATTACAAGATAAGACAATTGAGTTTATCTGAACTGTGGTGTTAATCTTGAACCCTGCACATTGACCAGTGATATGGATATATATGTATACATATTTGTGTCACATCTGTGTTTGGTTTTCTTCACCCCATTTGATGTCTACGGGCTTCTTTTAGAACCAGTCACAACACGTCAGACTGTTGCTCCAGGTAAAAACAAATATACGCTTTATATATGAACTACCTTATCACTAGACTTACAAATCTTATTTCCGTGAGAACCACAAGATATTTTGATTCGACCTGCAAATAAAAAAAAAAACTTCTATAAGATAGATTATTAGTAGTTAACGAATTTGTTAAAACAAACTGCTATGTAACCAGTGCATATATGTCTACCGAAGACCATTTTAATTCGTGGAGGCCAATGTTCGTGAGCAAGCAAAGTTGTCTTGGTTCGTGGGGACGTAATTTCCTGAGTAGCATTTATATAGAAAAGATTCAGTTAATAAAAGGCATAATAATAATAATAATAATAATAATAATAATAATAATAATAATAATTGTGACAAAATAATTGTTTGTGGAGATGTAAATTCACACACACGAATGGAGATGATTCCACAATAATTGCAACCTCTAGAATTTTTTTTTTTTAAAGATATATATTGTGGACACAGTAGAGAATAAAAATATACCTGTAAAAAAGATTTATCTAATTATAAGTTAATTCCCTCTACAGATTTTGACTTTGTATAATTGTAAATTTTCCTAAAGTATTTCAGATACCACGAGACTGCCAGGACTATCTATGGGAGGGATACCGAGAGAACAGGCTCTACACGATTTATCCTCAGAAGAGCGGACGACTGGACGTTTTCTGTGACCAGCTGACGGACGGCGGAGGATGGACTGTGAGATATTTATTTTTGTAGATGATTTTGTAGATTATATCTTTGATATATGAAATATTGCAAAATCACTTATTTTTGCGCTTTGAATAAAAATTCAGTCCATGGGGATTTGATTTTAGTGTTAGAGATGTGTTGAATTGCTATATATTTGAAATTCGATATTACATTTAGAACAAGAAGTCTCTTTATACCATGAAAACAACGAAAATTAACAGCTACAAAAATAAGTAATTTAACAGTGATGATGAAGAACTTTTAATAACTTCTGGGCTAATTTAACAAAAATAGGTATTTTAAAGGCCATTATGATCTACGACATTTTCAATTTATAATATGTCACATAGCATAAAATCTTAAGTATATTTTGCAAGACCACTGAAATACATTTGCAAACAATTCACCACCCCCCCCCCCCCCCCCCGCCAAAAAAAAAGAAAACAAACAATAACAGGTAATATCTATACATAATTTACACTTATTTTCCATCGATTCCTTAAACTCTGGACGTTTACAGTGTTTGACATCAATAATGATTTTCTGAATCTGTCATCATTTATTTAAGGTTATCCAAAGAAGAACTGACGGATCGGAAGATTTCTTTAGAAATTGGACGGACTATAAATACGGATTCGGAAACAAGTCTAATGAGTTCTGGCTCGGTACGTTTGCAAGTGTTTAAGTTTATGTGTATCAATATATAAAATAAGGAAGCAACTTTTTTTTCTCTCAAAATTTTCGTCTTAAAAGAGACTTGTCTTGATGATATAGAACCAAGACGTTCAAAAGTCAATTGTTTGGGAAAAACTTGTGAATAGCTGACTGGAAGACTGTAATTTTACGACTTTTCATACGTAACATAAATTATATCTTGATTTGTTGTGCATATAAGTATAAATGTAATATATTATCTGTATTTCAGTTGGTAACAATAAATTTTCTAGACACTTAAAAGAATTTAAGGTAGACCTGCGTCAACCTTTATCTTCCATTAACGAAGTCAAGATGAATAGAAGGTATAATAGTGTGAAGCTGATTAATTTGAGATTCAGATGAAGAATGACACGACCTTTTTATACTTTTTTTTTTATTGTGATCACCATTTCCTGGCTCATCATAGAACTTCAATTACTGTGTCATTATTCTTTGATCCTTATTTTTTCTTTATTGTTAATAAACAAGCTATATAATTTATTGAGCATAAAGGAAATTCTTGTTTTGTACATAGTTTCAAGCACACATGTAGTTGGTAATGCTTCCTAAAATTTAAAATTTTCCGTTTCTCTAATGGTTTTATTGTTCTTTATCATTATGCAATTTTTTTTATATAATTTTGAATTTAAAAGACTTTTTAAAAAATGATTTCAGGCAATCACAGGATTTATGAAATTGTCAGTCAAGGTTATTATGAGCTACGCATAGACATGGGTGACTTTGCAGGAGAGACTCGGTACGCCATTTATAGGCGTTTTTCTGTTGGTGATGAAAGTCAAGGCTATAAACTGACTATAGAAGATTACACTGGAACGGCAGGTTTGTTTTAAATGTCTCAGGAAACAATTTAATTACAATGTAATTAAAATAATTCTAATATTTGCTGTTTGTGTTCTATGAAAATACGAAAAAATATATGTGGATGACTTAACTTTAACAGGTGACTCTATGGCACGTCAAAATGGTGCTCAGTTCTACACTAAAGACCATGATTCAAACAACTGTGCTGCTATGTATAAAGGCGGTTGGTGGTATGAGAACTGTCATGACTCCAACTTAAACGGAATTTACCTCCGCGGGACGCACTCTTCTTTTGCTGATGGGATTGAGTGGAGAACCTGGCATGGTTACAAGTACTCACTTAAATTTACTGAAATGAAGATCAGAAGACTGTAATCCACATATTTATTAAGCAAGTAAAGAATTTGGAATAAACCTTACATTGTTGAGCTCATAATTTCTCTATTCCGGGAATTTTGAAACAACAGAAACACTATTGTCACTATGATTATATTTATACAACATTTAAATTATTCTATCAACCTGTCAAAGTTATGATTTGAAGCCCTTCACCGGTATATGGTGACTCCTCTATATGAGAGAAAACGGGACATAAAACAACATACACCCAATCAATCAAAGTTATGATTTACAGACACGAGATGAAATGTGTTTCAATATCAATTTTTCGGGATTAGGTCTTTCAACAAAATGTTGGAATTCCCATGGGTACCAAATGCGTCCCCGTAATAACAGACCTATTTTTGAAGTCATCTGAAGCAGTATTTATTCAACTTCTATTTGAAAAGGAAAAAAGAAAATCACTTGTTGTGGTCTCAAACTCGACATTTAGATACACCTATGACGTATTATCAATTAACAAGAGTTATTTCCATTCATTTGTCGACTCGATATATCCCAGTGAGAAAATAGTCTACTACTCTTTGAAAGTGAAAAATTAACAGGCAAACAGATTGGTGACGAACAAACTTCATCATAAAAGCTCCCATTAGCCTTTGGCTTAGATGACTTTAAAAATTACGTACATATTCTCTTTGAAAGCGTAAGACTAAAATGTTTATATATTCTTCCTTCTCAACTTTTTATTTAGGAAAGATCAAAGAAAATTACTCTATAGTCTGTGGCTTAAGGAACGAATTAAGTTCAATTAACATATAGTCTTTACTAATAATGTTTCTAAAAAAAATCAATCTCGAATAATTATCTTCTAAATATCAGAAATTACAGATATACCGTAAATCTGGAAATTTTTAAGTCGTTTTATATTTGCGAATCTGGATCAAAAGTCTGTTGATTAATGTTTACGTTTAAAATTTTTGCGAATCGTCATTTGAATTAAAATTTATTTTAAAGCTCTTAAATTTTTCTTAAACATTTGTAAGTTACGCATGTACATACAATAAATTACGAATAATCATACAATATTAAACTACGCCAACGTTCAATAATCAGAAAAAAATAATAGAAAAGATAAATCTTTCAAAGTGTTGAAAGTTTTCATAACATTTTCATAAATCACTCATGTACATAAAATATATATAACGACGTAATCTTTAAGTTATCTTTAGATAAAAACATTTTTTGTTGTTGATTTATTTTTAAGACAAATATTTTTGCGAATGCAATGCATGCGCGAATTTGCTAAAAAATTATCTACAGCGAAAATTTCCAGATTTACGGTACCAAAAAAAATTCTTTGGTCAGCATGGATAATGTATCATAAAATGTATGTCGAAATTGAAAGCAAGATACATGTAATGTTTCAGTGACAATACAGTGTTTATGAAAACTAAATGCAATAGAATATCTTGACCCTGATTAAAATAACATTAATCATTTCATATAAAACACTCTTTCTAAATACATTTTGATACACGTATGCATGGCTATATAAGTTGTAAGAACTCGTGTCCAATCCATCGGAATATTGTCAACAAAATATGTTTAAAAAAAAATGAAAAAAAAATTGAAAAAAATTAAAATTGAAAAAAAAAAAATAAAAACTTTAAAACAATTTTCAAAAATTAACAAATTTACAACGAAGAAAAATGTTCTACAATTAAGTTCAGAGTGTTTAGTTATGCATACATCAATGTATCAATGACGTGTCTTTAACTTCCTTTATATTTTGTTAACAGCTTTTGTGGCGATTGCCCTACAAATATAATGTTCAGATAATTCGGGAAAGCAGTTTTATTATTTGCCTGTCTCAATTTGTACTTATATTCGAAAAAAAAATAATAAAAGCGAAATGTATATTGTGTCTCATGTATATTGTTCAGCCGAACCATGATAAGGAGTTAATGGCTTTTTCTTATTACATGTAAATATGAAGAAAAAGAACTATGATCAAGATTAAAATCCGATTAAACAATACAATTTGGGACCAGAGAAAACACAAACACCTACAAATAAAAGAGTCGATCAGATGTATTTATTAATTTCAGTAAACTGTATGCCCCTACAACATCTAACATTTAGATGTATTTAATATTTTAAAAGGAAAAAAAAACACATTCCTCTGGTATTTTGAAAATAAAATACAACAGTACTCAGCTGATCGATGCTCTCATTTGTGCTCTTAGATCGGAGTCTCTTTTTAATACAGTTAAAATAGGATGCAAACTTGCTTTTGTCAATATCTCTCACTAATTTCTTTTTAAGCCAACAACGATCATACTAAAAAGTTCATACTAGCTTAATTGTGAGCAGAGCCAACACGGACCACTTAAAGAGAGGTGAGATCAGGTGCCATGGAGAATCGAGCATCCCCTGTCGACTGGTAACACTTGTCCTTCTCATGATCGAGAAAACGAAAAAAAAGTCGTTGAACAATTCACATTGAAAATAATGTCCTAAAATGTATGAAAGATGTCAGTGCACATACGACATTATGATACATTGTATTTGCAAACAAAGTCCTTGCATCGACCATAGATTCTACCAGATGTTGCGAGATTGCTGATATCGTTGTTAGTCATTAGTTTACCATTAATGTCTTTCTGCGTTAGTAAAATTTCCAAAAAAGGAAACATATATATCAGGCTCTGCAATATTTTTTTTAATTTCTATTTCAATCAGTGACAAGGTGAAGATAACGAATAGTGATCGATCAAAGACAATCTTCAAAAAATACAAATTTGCAAGCAGGGAATAAACACGGAATGATAGAAATTCCAGAGGTGGGATCAGGAGCCTAGAGGGAGTAAGCATCCTTTGTTGATTGGTCACACCCGCCGCAAATCCTTTGTAATGGTCAGAAAGACGGGACATTCCGAAGTCAAATATGACATCAACAAATATATATAATCTAACAATTATCTAACAATTAGGATGTAACAAAACTAGTCTGCCAAAATACATGAAAGAATCAAAATGGTATTAACTGACAAAATATATCGATATATCTCTGCATGTATGACAGTGGTTATATAAAATATAAAGCAATATTTAAGAATAAATACATTACATGGAGGACATGAAACAGGACTCTCTTAATGAAATATGTGGAGATAACGAACAGTATGCGAGCTCAAAAGTCCATTAATACCACTTATTACCACTTAAACAACCTAAATTACCCTCAAATGAAAATTAATGATTTCAATGTAATCATAATCATGCCACTATTTCTTGAAATTTCATTTCTATGAAAACTTTTTTTCCTTGAGAAACCATATTCATAATGAGTAAAAATGTTCATAAACTACATTGTCAAAAGTGTCTTATGATGCATTCCTCAACGAAGCTTAAGTAATATTTTTTTTTAATATGCCAAAAAAAAAAAAAAAAAAAGAGCAGTCTGTCACCGATTGCTGTGAGAAGCATAATAAAATGATTTAGCATTTAATAGCAATTTGAAGTCACTAGAGCATGTCACAAATACATATATATTATAGAGGCAAATATATTCATTCTAATGATATAAAGTATGGCTTAATATAAATTATACATTAAAAACATGAAAATCATACATTGGTATATGTTTGAAATTATTATTTACACGACTTTAAGATGTCATCCCTATCTTTAGTATTTTTATACAATAACAGATTATCTAAATTAATTTATTCAAATCCAAAATAAATAAATAAATATATATATATATATATATATATATATATATATATATATATATATATATATATATATATATATATATATATATATATATATATATATATATATATATATATATATATATATATATATATATATATATATATATATATAACGTATTATATATGTTGCGTCAATTATTTCCCACATACATACACCCTGGTTAATATAAAATTCACGCATCTACAATTTATAAAACATTGAATCCAAGTATTTGTAGAACTTGTTTCGATTTCAAATTACCAGATTTTATCCTATGAAAGATTAAAATGCTTTCATTAATTGCTCAAATTGATATCATTCAAGGGAGGTGCAGGAGCAGCATCTCTTACGTCATATAGATTATCGGTCATGTCACGTATACTTTCTTTTTCGTGGAGTCGGTTGTATGAGTAGACATCGACAAATACATCCTGTTCAAAAGATGCTGGATGTTTACTGTTTTTGTTCTCTTTCGTATTGTCTTCAAAGTCATAAGCGGAACTGTAATCAGGATGTTTACTATTTTTATTCTCCTTGGTATTTTCTTCAATGTCATAAGCGGAACTGTATTCAACATGTTTACTATTTTTATTCTCCTTGGTATTTTCTTCAATGTCATAAGCGGAACTGTATTCAACATGTTTACTATTTTTATTCCACTTGGTATTGTCTTCAATGTCATAAGCAGAACTGTAGACATCATTCTTTTCTATGCACCTTGTTTCCTGAAAGTTTATGATAAATTGTTGTTTTTTTTCTTATAAAATACACAGCAAAAACACATTTTCGCACTGATATTGGGTTTCATGACAGTACTGAATTTTAAATCGAAATTAAATAGAATTATTTCTTCTTTTTTTTTAATTTGACAATGCTACCTATAAAGCGGTAAGCAGATACCGTCTAAATATGGTTTTACATTGACAAGTCTTCCGAATTTCTAGCTAAATATTTTATTTAATTTTAAACCCATGTAAGATGTTATGTTTCAATTTCAAATGTGTGTGTGTGTGTGTGTGTGTGTGTGTGTGTGTGTGTGTGTGTGAGAGAGAGAGAGTTAAGTACCATTTCATTTTCTATGAAGTCGTCGTGTTCAAAATATATATGATCTTGTGAGACTTTGAATTCCTTGTTTAAAGACTGTTTCATAAATCTGTAGATATAAGTAAAATATCAAAAGTTAGAATTTCAGTAACAGTTTCAATTGAATCAGATAATGAAACTAAAGAAAGTCAACAGAACTGAATGATCAATCAATGAAATACTTCCCTTTCTTGTT